TGATCTCCATGGGAAATATCACGCCTTTCTCCATCTTAATTCCTGTCATTGTCCTCTTTGAATTGAGCCATTCAATTCATGGGATAAACTTCAGTGATGGGTTTATACATGTATCCAAAGATGTGCGAAGTACCAGAAACACAAAGTGAAGAGAACCACAGACCCTGCCTCTTCAGAAGGTCTCCGTGGCAAATGATCTTTGGCTAGACTGAATTAATAAATCTCCTGGTAAATGAACAGGGAGCCTTCTATAAGGGTAGGGATTGGTGAGAGAGAACAAAGTCTTAATCCTCCCTGTGTATTCAGGGTATTCTCAGGAAGTGGACATCCAGTGTTATTCTTGGATATTTACAACCTAGCAGTGACTCTAACAATGGGATGTCCCTCCATGGCTTTACTCTCTAGCTCTTTATTTTGCTTCCCACTAACATACACTGCTCACTTAGCCATGTGCAGAGCTGTCACTTTTGTCTTTTTCAAAGTTAATGCCAACTGTGCATTTACAGTCCTGACCATTTGCTTCATGGAGAACAGTGTGAAACAGAAGCTAGAAGGTTGACATTTCTCTTCTTTAATTGTCAAATTACAGTGCTCTCTGTCTAAAACCACAGGAAAACGTAGCAAAACTGGAAAACCCCTATCAAGGCCACAAGCTCCCCAGGACATAATCCCACTGTTATAATCCACAAGCTCTCACAACCCAGGATACAGAATGATGTAAAGGACTGTCGCCATACTTTCCTACTTCAAGTTCAAATGAGACTTAAAGATTTCTTCCTCCTTGCAAAAGCCTGCGGTTCTGGTTGGAACCAACGCCACTACTCACCAAGCTCTCACAAAGCACTTTCATGTCACGAGTGCTGCTCAAAATTAGCTTTGAAAAAAGATCGAGTTGTTTGTGTGCGTTTTGGTGTGAGAATGCATGCACATATGTGTGTGAAGGTATGAAGGCTAGAAGAGGGCACTGAATGTTTTCCTCTACCACACACCTCCTTCTGTCTTTGAGGCAGCATCTCTTTCTGAACCCAGGTCTCACATTTTCTTCACTAGACTGGAGGCCAGCAAGGCATAGTTATTCATCTGTTTCTGTTTCCCTTGGAGCTGGACTTGGAGCTGGAGTTACAGATATGCATAGCATGCCTAGTTCATTACACAGGTGCAGTGATCTAAACTCCAGGCTTCATAATTGTTCAGCAAACACTCTTAACCACTGAGGCATCTCTATAGCCAAAAACACAGATTTTAATAATAAAAATGATTACATTCAACATAGTTTTGATGAGCAAAAATAGAAATGCCTATCAAGGGCACAAGTCCATCATTCTACCCATGTCATAATCCCATCTTTGCAAGTGTGAATGAGTCTTTGAAGTTTCCTCCTTTCCCTTTCTCTCCAAGGAGGCTGCTACACTACACCGCTTTGTAACATACTTTTAAAGTCACTTTATCATATAGTCATTGTTCAGCAGTATATTTCTAATAACTCCTAAGTCCTTAAAGTATTGTCAACAGCATTGTTTTAAGGTATGTTTTAGGAGCATATTATAGTTTTCTCAGCCTTGTGTTGGAGCATTGAAGGAGAGTCCCTGTGTTATTATGAGCACAATTTTGAAGGATACTTACATCCTTTTTTAGCAAGTTATTTTTATACATGTGTGGATATTTCATGAAGAATGCACTCCTGGCTCTAAAACTGCTGGGTTGCATGGTATTGTTCTTACTTGTAATTTTTAAGTATATTTTTATTTATTCTGTGTGCATGTGAGCACATGCCATCAGATGCATGTGGGGGTCAGAGGACAACTCCAAGAAATCCATTATCTCCACTATATGGGTCTTGGAGATCAAATTTGGATTGTCAGTTTGAGCAGCAAGCACCTTTTCCTACTGAGGGATCTTGCAAGCCCTATTCTCACCTTTCACTATTATGATACACAAGGGGTAAACCTTAGAAGTTATCCAAATTTGTACTCATACCAGAAATGTATATTTTCATAAATCTATTTTAACATTTTATAATTTATGATACCATTTTTAACTCTTTGTCAACTTTTTTAAGCTCTAGATAACTTTTTTTTAGATTTTTGGCTTTACTTTGTTTTGTTTTAAAGAAAATGGTTCCATTGTGTAGCTCCCTGTGTCTCACTATGGCTGACCTGGGACTCACTGTGTAGATCAGGCTGTCCTTGAACTCACAGGGATCCATCTGTCTCTAGAAATAACATGTAATATTCTTGGTAGACAATTTGCAGACACCAAAATGTCTGTATCCTTTTATATTAATTAAATTTGTTCTTTGACAATTTTATACACATATGCATTCCGTGATGATTCTTAGCCTCACTGTCTTTTATCTACTCTCCATCCCCATCAACCCCCTCCTCCTCCTCACATGTCTTTTCCCCATATTCATATCTTTTTGTTTTGTAATCCAGCAATTTTAAGCAGGGTCATCTGTGTGACTATGGTTTGAAACTGTCTATTGTGGCTGGTAGGCTCACTGGCTGATACACAACTGATGATAATGTCTATCCCTAACCATCAGTTCCCAAAAGTTCATCCACAGAGGGAGAGCTCCATAAATCCATGTGGACTGGCCCAAGCTTTATTCCTCACAATTCCCTCTTCTGGTGTCCACTATGGTTTCTTTCATCTGTCTTATAATTCTCAGCATAGTCATCTCAGGCAGGAGTTTAACTGAATGGAAAAACTAAGAGAAGTGCCCTAGAAATGTGACAATATGGCAAGCACCCAATAGTCCCATGCTTGTTTGAAACTATCAGTCCTGGTAGCTTATTGTTGAATGACATAATAGGACATCTGGGTGCCATTCTGGAGTTACATAGACCTCAAGAGGCCCGAAGGGTCCAAAGACTGTCATCAAAATTCTTTGTGCGGGCTAGATTCATTCTTAAATCCGGCACCACTGAGAAAGGGCTGTGGACTGTGTCGGGAAGGTCACAAGCAGCTCAGCTCATATACAGCTTAGAGAGCGAAATGGAGGGAGAGAGCAACAGGGAGAGGGAGGATGGGGAAGGGAGGGGGAGAGGAAGGAAGAGGGTGAGAGAGAGACCCTTAGAGAATTCTTATTGGTTCATCCTGAGTCATGAGCTCATTCCCAAGGGAAATTCTCTGATTAGTCAGCCTAGGTCAAGTGCACCCTTGTGTGTATAGCCTTGACATCCTTGGACTGGACTAGGGTAGAAAGGGGAGCTGAGGAGACTGGAAGGGAGTGTTCCTTCTCATAGGAAAAAATGCTAGCAGACAAAACTTTTTAAAAAAAAAATGAGGCTATGGGGAGGACAAGCTGAACAGGGGTGGGTGGGTGGGGGTGTGGTCAAGGATGTGGGAGAGAGAGAACATCTTGAAATAGTTCTATGAATGCAAAACCTTAAAAAAAAACTTTTTGATGTGGTGATGGTAAAATCTGCATAGTATAACCCACTTATTTTTGCCAGCTTTAAGGGCTTGCTTCTGTGGTAGTTACTATGTTTGCTTATATCCTTCCAGTACTCTCTTTCTAGGACTCTTCTTGCCAACTGTACCTATTAAATAACAGGCCTCATCCCAGACTTCCACACACTGCCTACCTGCACAATGGGCCGTCACTTTCATTCTACGTTTTACTTGAGAATTTATCTATTCTAGATACCGTTTATCAGAGGAATCATGAAATCTTTTATGTCTGGCTTACTCTGTGCAGTGTCCTCAGGTTTTATCCATATTGTAACTTGGTTGTAAGTTTCCTTCCTCTTACTGCTGAAGTGCATGTGAACAACAAACTTTCAAAAGAGAAAGTAAAATACACTCCCCACAGGAGCAAATAGTCTTTTAGGGTGAAAGAGGAAAGCTGAAGGCTCTCTCAGAGCCTAAGAACAGAGGCTTGAAGGGAAAAGTAAGAAAAGGCCCAGCTTCTGCAGAGGCCAAGCTCTGTAATACTGATGTAATTCTGATGGGGCAGAAAGGAGTTCTCCAGATGGAAGGTCACTTGTGACCTTAACAGCTGTGGCTTCAGCAGAACCTGTGCAAACTAAACCTGAGTAAATTAGAGGGCTGGGGAGATGGCTCCATTAGTAAAGTGCTTGTCATGAGGACTTGAGGTTAGATCTCTATCATCCACATGAAATCTAGGCATGGAGATGCCTGCCTGTAATTCCAGTACTGGGAAGGCAAAGGCAGGAAAATCTCTAGGGTTTGCTGGCCTAACAGTTTAGTCAATCAGTGAGCTTCAGGTTCAGTGAGAGACCTTGTCTCAAAACAAACAATCAAACAAACAAACAAAAAAACAGTGACAACAAGAACATAAAAAAAGCATGAAAAACTGTAGAGATGATTCATTGGTTAAGAGCACACACTGTAGAAGTCCCAAGTTCGGTTCCCACAACCCACATAGGGCAATTTACAACTGCCTGTAACTCCATCTCTAGGGTATTCAGCGCCCTCTTCTGCCTCCCAGAGGCACCTGCACTCGCATGCACATATTCCCTCATAGTCAGATATGTGTTATTAAAAATAAAGTATTTAAAAATTAATATGAAAAGTAATGAAAGAAGACATCTAATGTGGTCTCTGGCTTCCACTTGCACCAGAATTCCCACACACATAAGTGTACACAGACCATACACACACACACACACACACACACACACACACACCATGCATACATGCATTCACACAAAAATTTATACAAGAATAATTTTTAATGATTTTATTCAAAAGAAAATGTTAGAATGGTAGCCGAGGGGAGGTAGAATTAGAAGGAGGCTTACTTTATTTGAATGGGAGGAACCTGGCCTTGTTAGTATCCCACAGGAATAGAGACTGCAGGATAGTGTGGGGAGGAGCAATACTTGGTGACAAACTGGGTTACAGGGTAGTAGTAGTGGAATGAGGAGCCTATGGGTACTCAGTGCCAAGTGGCCTAGTTTCTCTATGAAACTGACAATTTGTCAACTGCCTCCTTTATCAAGAGCAGCTCTTAGTGATTTATTTTGTTGCAGATCCACCAGACGCCCCCAGTGAAGTGACATGCGCCATTTATGAATACTCAGACAACATGATTTGTACCTGGGACGCTGGGAAGCCCACCTACATAGATACCAAGTATGTGGTGCACGTGAAGAGGTAGGTTCTACTGCACTATCAGACACACATTCTACTGCAGAGTAGATCCAGCAGAGACCAAGACTAACCTTAAACCTGAGACACCTACCTTGGTTAGGGAACTTATAACCACTCCTGGGACCCCACTGTTTTCTGCTTCATGAACAGAAAACTCTTGGACCAATTCATTCTTTTCTCTTGGTAGTAACTGGTAGCAGGAGTTAAACAGCTCAGTTTAAACAGTTACCTAAATCTCAGCCCTATTCTCCTTTGAGAATTAGTATAATATACTAAGTCGCTCAAAATTTCCATTCTTTATCTTAAAAATAGGCCTTTAATGCCTGCCTGTTCTTATTGATTGATTTTTATTTATTCTGCGTACATGTGAGCATATAGACTACAGGCTTGGAAGTTCCAGTCTAAAGTGACAGTACATCTGGTGTCTGCCACCAGCCCGCTCCTCATGAGTATTGTCTTCTGTGTGTATTCAGACGAGAGGGGGAAAAACAACTCCATTTCTTCATAAAACATTAACATCATTCTTGAGGGTGAAGCCCTCATTACATCATCACCTTCTAGCAGGTCAGTCCCTTAAAACTCTTGCACTAGAGTCTGAATCATACATAAGAAACTGACTCATTGCCAGGTCTCAGCATGTGAGTTTGCAGGAACTATCACAAAGGGAACTAGACTATTATGGTGCACTCAGAGCTAACTGCTTAGGCTGATGTGATTTGTCTCACATCAAGCCTGATTCTTATAGGAGAACAAAGGTTAGTAAACTCATAGCAATCATTTACAGAGTACTGCATACAATTTTATTTTCAGATAATTTTGGACCAATCAAGAAAATGATGCTAAATGTGTTCTGATATGAAAGATTAACTTAGATATATTAGTTATTGAACTTAGATATATCCTTATGTATAGGAAGTATTCCAAAATCTGGGAAAAAAAATCTAAAACCCAGTGCTTCTTGTCCTAAGTACTTTGGATAAGGCAGGTAAACTATAATTAAACTCTAGCAAGCCCAACCTGTATTTCAAATTGATGAAGTACAGATCAATGTAATTTTATTGTATTTTAAAGAAGACACAGTGACACTAGAAAGATTAAGAACATTCACTGCTCTTCTGGAAGACCCAAGTTTGATTCCCAGCACCCATGTCAGATGACGAATAACTGTAACTCCAGCTCTTGGTTATCTAGCCCTCTGGCCTCTATGAACACTTGCATTCACACACCTCCATGCGCACACACACACAAACACACACACACACACATCCACATGTGCACGTCATTAAAAATTTTAAAAATAATTAAAATACCTTTTTTAGTGACTACATAGAGCACTGGAAAAATTATCATACAAAAATAGCTTTCTTCTAGCAAAGCATACTTTCCAGTAAGCACAGACAAGCAAAAGGAAACAAGCATCCTCCTTCTAACTCATGGGAAACACAACCTTGAGTGGGAAGAAGTTAGAGAAGAAAAGCCTACCTCTCTAGTAAACTGCCCAAAGGCCTTTTTCCTGCAAGAAAAAGTTGAGTTATACTGAATGCTGTGGGCAAGGTAGTAAGCAGGCAGCAGGAAGAAGAAAGAAACCTGGGCCAATCCTGGCCTCTTAGGGTATTTCCATTTAGCCAAACATCAAGAAATCAGCACAGGCAAAGTTTCACTTTTAACCCGCGTGCTTCTGTTTTCCAGTAAGAGCACACACACTGTGAAGCCTGCCACCCTGGCTTGTACCACAGAAAAGCGGCAGCCCTTCAATGGCAGGACAGGGAAATGGGAGGTCTTCCAGTGTTTCATGGCCCTTGTCAAGCAGAGCTGAGTCTGTTGCTGCAAGAGTTCTTATCTTCCCTAGTGGTACCCCCACTAGACAGAGCTGTGTATTGTTTTCCTGTGTCAGTGGGTACTGCTGGGAAAAGACTGGCCTCTGGTATTAAGTGTCTGTTTGCCTTGTCCCCCTGTCTTCAGTTGGCCCTTACAAATAGGCTTTCTAGGAAACTCAGCAGTGTCTGACAGTGCTTTCTACTTGTTAAAAATTGTTGAATAGAAATGAGTGAATGGGGCCTTCATATGGCTCAACAGATATAAGTTCTTGCCTCAAGCCTGACAACCTCAGTTTGATTCCTGAGACCCACAAGGTAGGAGAGAACTGAATCCAAAAGTTGAACTCTGACCACCATATCATGATATGTGTGCCTGTGAGTATACACATACACAAAATAAATAAGTAAATAACAGATGAGCAGATAGTCAACAATTTTAATAAATTTTAGAAAGAGAAACGAGTAAGTGATATCCCCCATTCTGTCCCAATCAAGCCAATATTTAGCAAATATTTATTCCCCATTTTATGACTTCCAAGAATGTGTTAAACCCTAGAAATTAAAGGCGGAAAATCATAGTAACGGGCCTAACAAGATCATAAACATTTGGAGGCCAGCAGCTCTTCTTAGATGTCCAAATGGGGAATGGTTTTCTAAGTCAAACACCAGGATCTTCTGCCAGCTTGTTCCCATCGGGCTGTCAGGCTTGGAGACAAGCATTTTGAACTGCTGAGACCAATCTGGTAAATTAGAACCCTCCTGTCACTGTTTGGGTCACATCCTTAGTACCCCATGCTTTTCTCCTTATAAGTCTTGAGGTCTCAATATGTGCGGTAAGAGAACTAGCCACAAACCCGTTGAGAATGTGTGTGTGTGTGGTTTTCTCTAACTGGAAAAGAGTTCAAAGATGTCCCACTTACCCTTACCACTAAGCACAGTGCATCTTTTTTGTTTTCACATTTGAACTCTTAGTTAACACACGCTAGCCTATTTCCAATAATTTCTCTGTTGATAAACTTATGACCCCTCTTATTTCAGAAAGAATATAAGGCACGTACGTAAATATCTAAACACAATGACATAATTTAACTTTAGGTACAAATCTTATATACATCAAACAAATGTGGTAGTGTTCACACACTGGCAATTCCCTGGGAAGCCAAAACAAGGGGATTAAGGGTTGAAGGCCAGCCTGAGATACAGAGTAGCAACACTGTCTTAAATAGTTTAATATCATTTTTAAATTTCATTTATATTCATAAAAGTGACATTACAAATACCTTTTAACTTGTCATAATTTAGAGTCCTCTGTTAGGTGTGAAGTCATCTCAAGCTTCCTCTGCCCGTGCATCTACCTTCATTTGTTATCACAGTGATGCCATCAATTCTGTTCCACAGATGAGCAAACTGAATTATATCAAGGTTAAGTAAATTAAGTCTCATATCTATGTTTCTGCAAGTGTGTCACTTGCATCAAGTTCTGATTCTCCTGTCTGTGTCTTTGTGAGTAAGTCACGTGAGTCCAGTTCTAATTTTCCCATCTGTGTCCCTGTGAGTAAGTCACATGAATCATGTATTAGGAAGCTGCAGAAATTCAGGAGTTGCTAAGTGCACATGTAGTAATAAATGGAACTAGGATGAAACACTAAGCAAGAAATGGCAGTAACTTTAATGCTCTCTCTTCCTCACCAACCCTATGAAAGCAGTCTCCTGGAAGAAAAGCAATGGATGGTGTTAGCTAAAGAAATTGGGCCAATCCTTGCCTCGACTCAAATGCCAAAATTGGGACAGTACAAAAATAGGTGCAGATGACTCCCCCAGCACCCTAATCCCACGAATGGTGTTGTACAGATCCGTGCAGTGTTCACATTTCTTAGAAATAAGAATTTGGGGGCTGAAATGAGGCTCACTTAATGGAATGATTGTCTGGCATGCCCAAAGCCCCAGGTTCGACCCCCAACTCCGAATAAACTGGGTCATCTTCAGCAGCACAGAATTTAAAGACAGCTAGAGCTACATGAAACCCTATCTCAAAAAAGAAAAAAGCCAGGCATAGTGGTGTAATCCGTTAATTCTAGTTCTTGTTAGGCAGAAGCAAGCAGATCTCTGTAAGTTTGAGGCCAGCCTGGTCTACATAATAAATTCCAAACCAGTCAGTGCTACATATGAGACCCTAGAGAGAGAGAGAGAGAGGAAGAGAGAGAGGACCAAAACACTGTATGAATATTTCATAGTAGAGATTTAAAAATAAAGGGCCACAAAATGGTTCAGCAGGTAAAGGTATTCTCTACCAAACCTGATGACCTGTTTTAACCCATGGGCTGAAAAAAGAACTGACTTTCATGGGTTGTTCTCTGACCTTCACACACACACACACACACACACACACACACACACACACACACGCACGCACGCATGCAGGCTCAAGCTGTCTTCATCTCTTGAGAGCTAGAAGATTCCTGTTCTGCTTCTCCTGTGTGCTGTCCAAAGGCAATACTGGCTAATAAAATTTGACAGGTTAGCACAAACCAAGTGGAATTCATCGGGATTGACTGGATGACAAGAAATCATCAACCATGCAATGTAAAAACTTTGATGTAATTGAAGTGGCATTTAATGACTCTCCGTACTGCCTAGCCCCCAACCCCCTACCATGATCTTCTTTGTTGTCTTGGACAGCAAATGACTCCTTCTCCTCATTTAATCAGCTACCTGGTACAATCAGTTCTGTTTTCTAATGTTATTTTTGGATACTGGAACTCATTGTAGCCCAGGATAGCCTAAAGCTCTCTATATACCCTGGAATAACCTTAAACACGGGATTCTCAAGCCTCTGCCTCTGTTGCTGTAATGACAGGCACTCACCACCATACTCAGCTAGTTCTATTTTCAAACTATGTCACTGACCCTCACTTCAGACTAATAGTTCAATTCTGAATGATACTAAACTTGCGTCCCTTCTCCTGCACCACTTTTACTTCCTAGCAGTCTACCCTTCAGGAAGATGCCTCTGAAATTGCACAGCGATCCTATGTGCTCGTTTCCCCTCACGTGGTAAACCCCAACCTATCAGCTCCTCATTAGAGGGTCTTTTGGTCGTGGCCTGTTCCACTCCCAGCTACTTCCCGCCCATTCAGGCTCCAGAGGACAGCACTGGTTGAGCTCTCATATCATTTCACTTACTTGTTTTACAATATGATGGGGTTTTTCCTACCTGTGAAGTTGCCTTCCCTACCTGGCTTCAGCCTCTCACTCCTTCTTGACCCTCCTCTCACTCTCACCCTTTACCCAATATTGTGGCAGAAATAGAAATAAATGTCCAGATTAAAAGGCCAATGCAGTAAACTTCCACATTGCTCCTTGACAGCAGGGCTCATTTATATCCAGCTGTGGTTAACGCCAAGTTAGTCATTAACAGGTGCTGTAAGTACAGTGCCTGGTGTCCACAATACACAGAGGAGTTCATAAAAATATTTAATTTTTTAAATGAGAAAAGAAATAGAACTTAAAAATTTCAATATATAATATTAATATCTTTGTCTACAAACATAGATATAAACTAACATATGTGAATATATATGTATTTTGTATATATTTATTTTTCGCATAGTCTTATACAGGACTGTATAACCACTTTTTTTGTAAGTGGAGAAAGTCTACAATGGAAAAAGTATTTGGAACCCACCATAGTTAAAACATCACCTATGCCACATTTGGGATTTTTTTTTTAATTCAGAAGATTAAAGTTGAGTTTGATCCATTTTTTAGTAACTGACTGAGTTCTGAAGTCAGGTAAAAAAAAATAACATTCAACATTTCAGGAACTAGTAATCTACATAAATATAACTTGTGGGTGTTCTTATAGTTTAGAGACAGAAGAAGAACAACAGTATCTTGCCTCGAGCTATGCTACCATCTCCACTGACTCATTACAAGGTGGAAAGAAGTATTTGATATGGGTCCAAGCTGTCAATGCCCTAGGCATGGAGGACTCACCGCAACTACAAATCCATCTGGATGATATAGGTAAGGAGTGAGAGATGCTACATAGTTTTTTTTTTTACAGACAACTAATTGGCATTGGTTGCATCAAATGGTTTACATCTAAACAAAGTACACCTAAAGTTCCCACAGATCATAAGCAATCAAATTTTTCTGGCATTCTTCCCCCTGGTGCAATTCTGTCCAATTTCTCAAATTTTCTAAATGGCAGTGATTTTACAAATATGTTTTGAGAACTTGTGTTCTAAAAGCCAGGGAGGCTAAGAGAGACTTCAAACTTACCTTACAAGAAGTAGCCACTCGTCAAGGGCAGATGGGAAGAAACAAAGGTTGTACTCGGATATGATGAACCTTATGTTGTGAAAGGCATGGCATACTAATAGACTGCGCTCTGTGTGCTGAGTGTCACTGAGGGTCCTTTTCAAGTACATTGAGATTGCCAAAAATTGTGTTGACATGCCTAACTTCACCAACAAAGCTAGTGTTTTCATGTTTTACTTGAGCCTTTTAAAGGTTACAATATTTAATAAACACTTCTATTAACTTAATCTGCAGTGTTATTTTCATTATTATTTGGCCATATGATTGCTTATTTCCTTGTTGGAGATTTACACTGTTCTCAATTTTCCACCATCTAAAGTATAATGTCATGAACTGCGTTGTAGCAAAATCATCATGAAGTTCTTGATTCTTAAAAATTAATTTTGGTTAGTATGCAAAAAATGGGTTTCATTCAACATTTTCATATCTATATATATTTATAACATATAAATATATATATATATAAAATTGTTCTTTGTCCTTATTAGTTCTTTGTCAATTTGACACAAACTAGAGACAACTAGGAAAAGTAAACTTTAGTAGAGGTATTTTCTGCATCAGATTAACCTGTAGCCAGTCTGTGGGCCATTTTCTAGATTAAGATTAATATGGAAATGCCCAGGCCACTCCTTGGCTAGTGACCCTGGATTGTACAAGAAAATCAGCTGAATGAGACCAAGCCATTAAGTAACATTATTGTGTGTTTGATAATTTTTCTGGTGATTAATAAGAAAAGGGTTGTGGAAAAATATTTTGGGATTCAACGTGAGTACCTTTTGGGAGTCACTAAAGCCTTCTGTCATAGCTAATAATACAACTTGTCTATTAGTGTCAATTATCTCAAATAATAAAATTCTCTAACAATCAATCTATCCTATCTTCTCACTATTGGATTTTAAAAATACATGCTGCTATGATGACAAACAATAATTTCATTTTATTATATATTATTTGGAACTGCAGATCTCTTCACAGTGTATATACATTTTGTAAATACATGATTTGAAGTAAGATATAATAAATATAGCCTTATATATTGCAAAGGTTCCTTTTGGGGCTGAAGAGATGGCTCAGTGGTTGAGAGTACATAGGGTTCTTACAGAGGACCCGTTCAATTCCCAGCACCCACTTTGGGAAGCTCACAATCACCTGTAACAGTCTGTTATGTCCTGTGTCATTACAGTTGTTTGATTTTTAGGAATAAAAGTATAATTAGTAACATGCTTACTTCTGCGGTAATTATGATCTCAATATAATCACCTCCATTTGTTACTCACATACTATATTCCAGAAACTTAGACCACATCGTATTTAATATTGACAACCATACATGGTAGTACTGTCTCCATTTTACAGATGAAGAAAATGATAATTTGCTAGAGTTAACACAGTAGGTACAGAGCGGCAGGAAAGTCACCCAGGTTCCTAACTTGCTGCAGTTAACCATAACAGGCCATGTATGCTGGGAAATTCTCAGTTGACCTCCACCTCCAAATCTGGTTTCTTAAATTACAAACTGGAGTTTGGAATGGATCCTCTTTCTCCTTCTCCTCACATCCACTTTATTTTCTCGTCAGTGTCTCCGTCCATTCCTCACTTTCTCGTAGCCCAAAAGAGACTCATAAGCTCAATTTGAAAAGTAGAGATCAACTGTGGAGGAGACTCAAATGAATAAAGTCACCAGATTATTAATGAATGAGTTTTCATTGGGTGACACTTTAAGAGCAAGGTATTGCAAGGTCAATACATGATCCATTTTATGAAGCTGAGCAGAGACTATCCTGGGAGTAATCTCCACACAATAAATCCAAGTTCGGGCTTTAAGAACGTTATGAAGGTTATGCTGAAATATGGGGCAACAAAATAAATTTAGGTATAGAAAGAGGATTGTCTCTGACAGTTGTGACCATTAATTCTCTCTAAATATGGGCAATCATGCTGGAAAGACACAAAACAACTATAATCTCAATATCTATTATAATACAATTGGAACATAAATACGTAATACCCATGATAAATTAACACTTTTCTAAAAATGCAACAGATGGTGGGAATGTTTGAAACCAGAGATTTAGCAGTTGTCTTAACATAGTCATGCATGTGTTTATAATTTGTTTCTTTTTAGAAGTTTGAGCTTGCTCAAAACTAAAGGCTTGTTAGTTCTTCATTACATTGCTCTTTCATACTAAACCTCTTCTGCTGCTGCTTTGGTTACTTTCCATTGCTGTGATAAGACACCATGACCAAGGCAACTTTGAAAAGAAACAGTTTAATAGGTACTATGGTCCCAGAGGGTTAGAGCCTATGATGTGGAGCAAAGGCTGAGAGTTCACATCTGAATTTATAAGCAGGGGCAGAGAGTTAGCTTGAAATGGCTGGAGTCCTTAGACACTCAAAGCCCACCACCAATGACAAACTTCTGCCAGCAAACACCTTCTATTCTCCCACAAACAGTCACCAACCAGGGAACAAATGCTTAAATGCCCAAAGTTTATGGGAGTCAGTCTCATTCAAACAACCCATTCCATTCCCTGCCTCACACCCTGTTGTCTTATAGCCATGTTGTAATGAAAAATTCATTTAGTCCTACTTCAAAACTCCCCATAGTCTTTCAGTCTCACCACTGTTTAAAAGTCCAAAGTCTATTCTGAGACTCAAGGCCATCATAACTGTGACCCTTTGTAAAATCAAAAAGCAAATTACATGCCTCCTATATATATTGGCACAGAATATTCATTACCATTCTAAAAAGAAAGAACAGGTCAACCTGAAGAAAATTAGACCAAAGTAAGACTGAAAATCAACAAGACAAATACCAAATCCTGTAGCTCTATATCTGATGTCAAAGACTGTAGATGACTCTGTCCTTCCAGTATTGCTGTCTGGAACATCCTTCTCTCTTTCAGTCTGGTTCCACTCCCTGTATTCAGGGACTATCCCCTTGGCAGATATCCCACAGTTCTGTCATCTTGGGATCTTCAATACCATCCCAGTTCACTTTCACAGATTCATACAAAGGCTTCTCATGGCCTCTTGCTCTCTTAGGACCTTCATGTAGGGACTGCCATGCCACACATTGCCTGGACTCAATGACTCTCCTAACCTTGGAAGGAGATTCTGTAACTTCTTTCCTCATTGTATCTTTCATGACTCTAAGGTCAGAAGCCCGTGGATGACACTGCCAAGTCCAGCTGCCCTGTTGGGAAGGAGCCTGGCTCCCTTGAATATTGTTTGCAGCAGCTTTCATTTGTTGTTCCTTTTTAGGAATTTATAAATCCATTAGGCTTTTCTAACCCTTTCTTTATCTCATCTAGTGACCAAATATGCCTAATCAGTTTTCTGCACCTGTTGAAATATACTTTTTGGTACCTTCTTATGCAGCGAACACCATGGGGGTTGGGATCTAGCAAGCCTATCCATAAAGTTCAAAGTATAACACTCTTTGTCCATCAACATTAATCCATCTATTCCCTTGCTCTTCATACACCCCATGTATGACAAGGGTTCTGCTGTAGTCTTATACATTCCCATACTGTGCTTCCCTATCCCAGAGCTGTTCCTGAAAAGATAATCCTTGTCTTGTAGATATATAGAATATCATTATTAAAAGAGATTATTCAAAGCCCATAACCCGCATAGTAAGCTAATCAAGAAACCCGTCTATGCCTCAAGGGCAGCTAATACCTGGTCATCTGCCACTGACCTTCAGGAAGCCTAGTCCTATAGGACATATAGCTCCCATCTGGCATAATGACATATGTCATGTCACACAGACGACACTGGAGTTGGTGTGGCATGCTAGGAAACAAAAAGTGAGAAACGAAGGGCCAGAGTCCCCAATATACCCCTTTGAAGTCACATATCTCATAGATCTAAGACCTCCTACTAGATTATGCATCTTCAAGTTCCTATCATTACCCAGTGGTGTCAAGCTGGGTACTAAGTCCTTAACACATGGGACACTGGACACATTTAAAATCAAGGTCCCAGAAGAAAAGATACCTTCTCCTTTATCTCTTTTTTTATACTCCAAATAATGAGGCCAGCAGTTGGTATTTCTTTAGGCTTTTAAGAAGTATTTCTTTCTTATATAATAAATCAGAAAAGAAGACAAGTTCTATCAGCTGTTACTTAGATTATGAATTTATGGGGCATTGGACTTTGACTTTTGACATGTCTATATATTGATGAAAAGCTATCAATTTCTTCCTGCAGAACTCTCTTAACCACTAGTATTTTTTTTTCTAGTAATACCTTCTGCAGCCATCATTTCCGGAGCTGAGACTATAAATGCTACTGTGCCCAAGACCATAATTTACTGGGATAGCAAAACCATGATTGGAAATGTATTCTGTGAAATGAGACACAAAGCAACAACAAACCAAACGTGGAATGTAAGCTAAATTTTCATTTTTCCTAAGCATCTGAGGAAAGGATTTACAGAACAGCCCACTAACAGTGTTCAGATTGAACTTAGGAAAGATCCGTTTCTTACACTTTTGACTGACAGAATATTTGAACTACTCTGGTTTCAGTGATTACTGTGTGTTTCTGAATAGTATTGTTTTCTGAAATGATCTTCTGACTTCTCTAAATTGTTAAATAGACTGAATTTACAACTAAATGGGATCATTTTTAGTTCCTTAGCATTGTCTCTTAGGATGAAATTTGCATCCATATTCATGAATATGAAACTAAAGCGTTCTATGTGAAATTGAACAGCATGATTCAAAATGAAGATGTTAGAGTAAGATGTCTGTAACAAATTCCCAAGCATAAATATGCTGGGGAAACTCCTTCAACCACTGCCTTTGAGATGCTGGCCTACGTTGGGCGTGGCCTTGGGTGCTATAAAAACAGATGCATAAATGTGCACAGTCTTTCTTGGCTGCTGGACTCGGTTCCTGTTCCCTTCTTGTGCAGAGGACTGTTGATCTGTGAGTCTACCCCTAATAAAGAACCCTTTATTATACTCAATTCTGAGCTAGTGTGGGACTACTTTATTGTAATATATATAATATATATTACAATAAATTAATTACAATAATTTTTAATTATTGTAATATATTATATATTACAATAAATAAATTACAATAATTTTTATTACTAACAAATTGCTTATATATATATAATTGTTATATATAAGCAATTTGTTAGTAATAAAAAATTAAAACAAAAAAATTCTCAGGGACGCAGGCATTCTTTGAAGATATGTAGCAAAACTTATGAGAAAGTCTGTAGTTAACCACAGCTGCAGTGGTGAGGAGGTACTGGCAATCTTTTAAAGGGGCCACTACAGGTTACAAAGGGAGAAAACAAAACTATTGAGCAATCTAAGGAAAAGGTAAAGGATACTTGCATTATTTTCCATTTCCTAAGTGTGATTAATAATATCTGGACATGGTTAGCCAGTTCGGTGCTATTGGTCTCTTGAAGGACTAAGATATATCAATGACAGACTCTTGCAATACCATCCCCATTCATCATAAATCCTCTGAAGGTCTAGATCCTACAAGGACAGACACTTGCAATTTCATAAATAAAATCTGTGAAAGTTCCATTTGTGATCTGTTCAGAAGAACACATGCCTGGCTAGCTTGCTCTGTCAGTAAGACTAATGATAGAGAATAGGCTTCTAAGTTTCTCACCCTAATACGGAGAACATAGTGTAGTAAGAAGTCATGCTTTTGCCCATCCACAAATATGTGTGCCTATAAGACCGATATGTAATCATGAGAATACATGTACACATTACATGAGAGTGCATGATAATAGGGAGATATCATAGCTGTTATTGCACAAATGAAATTGCAGATGAAAGTAACAGTTTTCAGAGTCAGTGGCCCTGCTGACTTTGCCAGGCAAGGTTCCTCCATCTGAGAATAATTTCTCGGATGTGTTGACACCTAGAGTATCTGAATTATGACTTTATTATAATTATCATTATTATCATTATTTTAAGTAAAATCCAAAGATGAATAATCTTTTAAAATTTATCATTGTGGTTAAACCATTAAAATGAGCTGCAAATTCTAAGATGTTTGTCTAAGTCTCAAAGTAGTTTTTTAAAATGTCAGTCTATAAAATACATAGAGGTTTTTCTCTTACATAGGTCTGACTAAAATAAAGATCTTGAAAGCTTATTTGTTTTAAAAGACACAGTGGTGGTCCTAAATATACTTAAGTTTTTTTAATATTTGTATTTATATATGCATTCACACATATATACAGCATAGCTTAGGTACAGAGTTGGTGAAAAGAAACTGTGTTTCCAGAGACTGAATGACTGATTGGAACTTCATCACTGTGGGAAGACTGAAATGTATCACGTCCAGAGTTCAAGCCCGCTGGCAGAGCCATTCCTTGCCTATCTCTGTGACAGGAGTTTTAGTGAACTCATCCTCAGGATGCTGAAGTTAGCATATTTTTATAGAACGTCAGAAAAGGCAGTAAATCATTCAAAGGTTTAATGTTGTCCCTCTGGTCAGGTGATCAGCTTTGTGTCTGCTTACCTCCTACACTTTCCCACATTATGACCTCTGTGTGAGGGGAAGGGAGTTCACACACACTCAAGGTCATTGATTTTACATTCCTACCAAATCACTCTGGATTACAACTAGGTTGAAAGTTAACTCAAGCAAACTGCTAAAAAGTGGTGCTGGGCCTTTTACAATGTGTTCCTGCAGTATTTTTTCAAATTATGAAGTGTAAATGCACTTTTATAATACAGAATGTATTATAATGTTTTGTGATGACATTTTCCTAGGAAGATGTAATATATACACACATAAATGGGGAGGGTGGTGGATAGATGGAGTATAGATAGATGATAGATAAATGGATCATAGATGTAGATAGATCAGAGATAGAAGATATGTGATAGACAGGCAGACACACAGATAATAGATAGATAGATAGATAGATAGATAGATAGATAGATAGATAGATAGATAGATAGATAGACAGACAGATAGATAGATGGGAGGAGCCTATTCACCACAGAAAAGGAACCCATGACAGAACAAACAAAAGATTACACCAATGTCCAACTCGGTGAAGCAATTAATTTTTATTGGGTTCCTAGCAGGACTATAGGTGGCAGGTTTCCCACAGGAACAGGGATGACTCAAAAACAGCTGCATCACCCAAAGGTCCCAAAAGTGGTGATGACTCACTGAAAGCATCCACCCTGGAACTGTCTGCACAGCTATGAGATAACTCAGTCTCTTCTCTGTGCAGCACCCAGCTGCCAGCGGCCCCTCCCCCAGCAGCTGCTGGCACATTTTTCTGCTAGGGAGGAGAGTCTTCCAAGTTTCTGTTCTCTTGGTCAATGGTGGGAGATTTTGTTTGCCTCCTGAACTTCGTGAGCCTCCACTCCACCACAGAGAAATTTTTCTAAGGAAACTGCTCTACAACAAGTGTCAAGGTGCCTCTACTCCTCCCTCCTATCCCCATCATATTCATTATCTTCTGTAATCCTCACCACAAACCTCCCAGCATTCCTTTATGACAAGTAGTTTTAACTCCATTGTATAAATGAAGTGAAGCCTGAATGAGTCAAGTCAAGGGTTTCCACATTTGCATAGTACCTAAGTGCCTCTCACTAACTCTGTATTACTCCAGAGACCCAGTGAATAGTCAGAAAATGAAAGCAACATGTTCCAATCCAAAGCTCACAGTCAATCCTCTTCTGCATGCTTCTAAAATACAGTCACTAACACAGAAAAAAAAGGTGGATCACCATTTCTTTCCATAATTTTCCAGTCAAGTCAAAGATAGCCAGGATGAAGCTTTATTTAATGTTTTCATCTAGGTCATTCCAGAAAAAAGAGACTGAAAAGTTGAAAAGGGCTGCACTTTCACCTCAGCTCTGGGAGGACAGTCTTTATCAAATTAGCTGGCAGGATTTTCTAAAGAAAATCTTGTGACTCAGATCACAGGGTCAAAGCTCTGTTCTTCTTCTGTGCAGCCGGCAGCACCCTTCTTCTAACTGTTGCTAATTGTAAAGTTAGTGGATACCTCAATCTGCTGAGCTTAGTGATACATTCTGAGACATTTACCACAGAGAATGTTAGGCCAGATTCAAATCTTAAGACAAATGGCTGTTAAAGGGGGTAAGAAAGCCTAAGAAAACACCAGGCTTAAACGGCAACATTGCATCTCTCCATAATCAGGATGTTCTGATCAGCCAAGGTCAGAATCTGCAAGACCTTTAATATAGACTTTGTTTCTTCAAAGAAATTCAGTTCACAATCCCTTCTTGAATTCCAAGATCGGGTTGGGACATACAAAGAAGATTTAAGAAAGTCTCAGCAATAGAAGTAGGAACATAAGCCAGACACAGTGTAGACCAAATTACAAAATAAGACCAGATCTCCAATGATGGTTGTGTGTGAGATATGTCAATAGCATAGACACATTTGTGTCATTTCACATCAAAATTTTGAGTAACAATAAACACACAAATAAAAAATTCATGTCCATTCATTTCATTGACTTCAGTTTGCCAATCTTAAATGTAAACTACATTCCCTGCCATGGAATGGCCCCTCTCTTTGGCTATCAGAATATTGATATAATGGTCCCTAAGATGTTGGAATTCCTCACCAGGAATCTTTTGCTAGAATCCTAGTCCCAGATAGAGGGGTTAATTCCTCTCCCAAAGAGAGTTCACACAGCTTTACCAACTTGTCAGACCAATTTGAAGGACAGCTGGAACCATGACAGTGGTAATGGGTGGACCACACCTTAACGAGAATTACATAGCAATGCCATATTTTACCCTTTATTTGAACCTAAACTTCATTTCAGACCTTATAAGATGTACTGGACCTCCTAGTTCTCCCCCAGTATGGCCACATTGAATAAATCACCTCATCCTGCCTTTCATCATGTCTTGGTCTTTTTAACTGACCCATTGTAGATGAGTGACTATGCCTAACTTATTAGGGTTGCCAGCTTTATTTAGGCTCTAACCCTAAAAACTTTGTTAACAGTTTTGGCAAGCCGTGGACTCCAGGAACAAAGGACACATTTGAAGTGTGTTGTAGTTTGAATGAGAAATGTTCCCCCATTGCATCTGATCACGTGGTCCCCTGTTGGTGATAACATTTGGGTAGATTTAGGAAGTGTGGCCTTGCTAGAGGAAGTCTGTCACTGGGAGTGAGCCTTGAGTTTTCAGATCTACAGACTGCTCCCAGGTCACTCTGTTTCCTGCTTGTGGTTCAAGACTGAGCCCTCAGCATCCTGCTCCAGCTGCCATGCCTCCCCTCTGCCATCACAGACTCCTATCCTTCTGGAACTGTAGACCAGAAACTCTTCAATAAGTTGCCTTGGTCATGGTGTTTTATCACAGTAAGGAAAACATAACTAGTACAGAAGTTGGTACCAGGAA